TCATGGGTGAGGGTTAAAGGGAAGACCAGTGTGGGTGACATTGGGGTGGGTGTCTGCTACAGGCTGCCTGATCAGGAAGAAGTAGATGAGATGTTCAGGCAACTAGAGGAAGCCTCACCTGGACAGTCCTCCTGGCAGAGTTTGAACCACCCTGGTATCTGCTAGAGGGGAAATACAGCAGCATGCAGGCAATCCAGGAAGTTTCTGCAGTAGTGTACTGATGACAGCTTCCTGGCATGGGTCACTGGGGAGCTGACAACAAAAGATGCTCTGCTGGATATGATAGTTGCAAACAGCAAAGAACTGTTTGTGGATGCGACGGTCGAGGGCAATCTTGACTGCAGTGACTGTGAGGTGATGGAGTTCAGGATCCTGTGAGGAGGGAACAAGGCAAAAAGCAGGATCACAACCCTGGACTTCAGAGGAGCAGATTTTGACCTGTCTGGGGACCTGCTTGGAAGAATCCTGTGGGATAGGGTCTGGGGGAGAGAGGAGGGGTGCAGGAGAGCTGGCTGTTTTTTAAGGATCGTCTCTTGCAAACTGAAGGATGGTCCATCCTCATGTGCAGGAAGGCAGGCAAAGGTGGCAGGAGGCCTGCACGGATGACCAAGGAGCTCCTGACAAAACTCAAACACAAAAAGGAAGCATGCAAGAGGTAGAAGCAGGGACAAATGGCGTGGGAGAAATACAGAGCCACTCTCTGGAAGTTCAGTGATGGGATTAGGAAAGCTGAAAGCATCCTGGAGTTGAATGTGGCAAGGGATGTGAAGAGCAACAGGAATGGCTTCTTCAAGTGTATCAGCAGCAAAGGGAAGATTATGGAAAATGTGGGTCTGCTGATGGGTGGAGCAGGAGACCTGGTGACAGAGGGCACAGAGAAAGATGAGATGCCTGACTGCTGTCTTCACCTCAGTCTTTAGTGGCAAGACTTGTCTTTGGGAATCCCAAGTCCTTGAGGCCAGTGGGAAAATCTGGAGCAAGGAAGACTTGCCCTTGGTGGAGGAGGATCAGGCTAGGGAATGTTTAAATGAACTGGCGATACACAAATCCATGACACCTGGTGGGAGACACAAGCAAGTGCTGAGGGCACTGGCCAACGTCATTGTGAGGCCATTCTTGGTTATCTCTGAAAGGCCATGATGATCAGGAGAGGTTCCTGAGGACTGGAAGAGAGAAAATGAAGACTCCTGTTTTCAAGAAGGTTGTTCCAGGGAACTAACAGACCATTCATCTTCATGTCAGTCACCTGAGGCGATGGAGCAAATCTTCCTGAAAGCCATTTCCAAACATACTAAAACCAAGGTGATCAGCATCGACCTATGAATGGGAAATCATTCCTGTCCAACTCGATAGCCTTCTATGCTGAAATGACTAAGTTGGATGATGGACAGTAGTGGATGTTTTTCCTGAATTATCGAGGCTTTCAACGCTGTCTCCCATAGCATCCTTACTGACAAACTGATAAAGTATAGGGTAGGTAACTGGAGAGTGAGATTGAAAATGGCCTGAACTGCCAGGTTTGAAGGGTTGTGATTAGTGGCACGAATTCCAGCTGTAGGCCAGTTACTAGGGGTGTATCACAGGGTTTGGTACTGAGGCCAATACTTTTTAATGTTGTTGTTGTTTTTGTTTTGGTTTTTTTTAAGGACCTGGGTGATGGGACAGAGGGTACCTTCAGTAAATGTGCAGAAGATAAAACAGGAATGGTTGACACATCATCCGGGGTGACCTGCTCTAGCTGACCCTAATTGAGCCAAAGGGTTGGACGTGGGGATCTCTAGAGGTCCCTTTCCACATCAATGACTCTGTCTGTTGCTGTTCAACTCTACAGACTCTGGTGGTTTTCCCTGGGCTGGCACTGTAGCTGTCTAGCAGTTAGATAAGGCAAATGTGTACTACAGAATCTCAGCATGGAGTTTTTATGCATAAGTAGAAATAGTATAGGCCATACCGTTGTTCTCCTTACCCAAGAGGCAGAAAATGTAATTATTAAGAAGCTTCCCTTATTATTTCCTTTGTCAAATAGACACATCCCTGCAACAAGCGCTCTTAGGACAAAGTTTTTAGAAGTAGACGCTGGCTGTTGCTTGCAGTAGCTAACTAAGATTGCACAAGGAAGCAGTCCTTGGTGGATTGTTGAGGTTAAATGTTCAGAGCGTTGTTCTTCTGTAATGCTGGTTGCTGCTAAGCCTCTGCGTCCTTGGAGGACCAAAGAGAAATCTGAAATCTTAAATCGTACTTTTCTGTTTGAAGAAAGAGGGACCTATTCATAATAGAAGTACTTGTTTATAATGAGTATGTGGTGACACAGAATTTGTTTGACAACCTTAATTGAAGGCTCAGAAGTTTATGCCAAAAATGACTAGGGCAGAGGTATGGGAGAACTTGTCTTGCCCACATGTTTGCATTCGTGGGTGCACCTGTTGAAGAGTTGGGAAGAAAGAGAAGTCATGCTCACCTGGGGAAAGGTAGAAGCGTGGCAGCTGGTAAATCAAAATTACCTGTCAAGGCAGTCCAGAAATCAAATACACAGTAAAGGTTTAAATTATCTTGACTTTGAATGTCTAGAGTCCCCCTTCAAAACATACTGCTGTGTTAAAAAGTCACTAGTGTTCCAAAGTAGCCTTTTTGCTGATGTTAGAGATAAAGACTCTCTGCAGAGAAGCAACCTGTATTGGTGATCTGTAGAAAAATGTGCTCTTTCAATGTACCTAAATATAATCAGCTTTCTCTTTACTGTTTCAAAAACTGGGCCTATAGTTGTATCTCTTTGTGTTGAGGGGTAAGTGTCTTGTCTAAATGGATATAAATAAAAACACAAAGAGAGAAACTGCTGTGGATAACTGCCTGTAATCCAGAAACAACTTCTTGTTCACTAAACAAAAAGTAAGCCTGAGGAAGTTGCCTGGTTTGCACGGTATTGCTACAAATGAGAATGGGTCTATACTTGTTAGGTAACTGCAGGTATGATGTTCCCCTCCTTCTCCCAGATACGAGGTTCAAATCTTGAACTGATGTGATGAGTAAAATTTAGCTACCTTTTCAAGTAGAGAACAGAATTATTTTTTTTATAGTAACTACATAAAAAAGTTAAGGGGAAACAAAGTGTCTTGTTCATTAGCATTAGCGGAATGTAAACAGGCTAGTCGATTTGGAAAGTATTTTAAAGTAAATACCCTTTTAAGCATTCCAATAACTGCAGGATGTATGTGGGTTCCTTTTGAAAATGTTTCCTGGAGTGTTTGCCTGTCTCTCCGGTGGGACGGCTCTACTTCACATGTAGTGCCTGTGTCGGTGGGAACTTCCCAAGTTGGGTGTTGGTGTCCTGGCATTGGGCTGTCCAGAAGAGTAGCTGGATTGAGCCGTGGCAGTGTAGGATTTCTGTAGTTACAAGAATGTAGACTAAAGAGTGTACAAAATAAGGAAAATATGTGTCACTTACCTGTTTACAAAAGCTGTAATGTTGAAAATAGCATCAGTAGCCTCTAAGTATTTTTTTAGACTTTTGGTTGTTAGGCACTTAATGTTCACTGAATGCTTACCAGTCTTTTAAAAATCACAGAATCATTTAGGTTGGAAAAGACCCTTTAAGATCGAGTCCAGCTGTTAACCTAACCCTGCCATCCCACCACTAAACCAGGTCCCTAAGCAACTCGTCTACCCATCTTCTAAATACCTCCAGGGATGGGGACTTGACCGCTTCCCTGGGCAGCCTGGTCCAATGCTTGACAATCCTTTCTGTGAAGAAATTTTTCCTAATGTCCAATCTAAACCTTCCCTGGTGCAACTTGAGGCCATTTCCCTTCGTTCTGTCACCCGTTACCAGGGAGAAGAGACCGACCCCCACCTCACCACAGCCTCCTTTCAGGTAGTTGTAGAGGGCGATAAGGTCTCCCCTCAGCCTCCTTTTCTCCAAGCTAAACAATCTCAGTTCCTTCAGCTGTTGATCCTTGTACTTTATATACCTTTTATAAAATAAGGACAGTATTGCCTTGCCTTGCCTTCTGACTTCTTTAAAGAATAAATACTACATGAACTTGTGCAGAGGCACTGTAAGTAGATGGAAGAGGGAAAACCCAGGTGAAGTTTTGTAATGATGGTGTCGACAGCATTGTAACTTGCCGTGGCACCTGTGTGTGTCCAGTAGCAGACCGGTGCTCCAGATGTTAAAACCCAACACCCAGCTTTTCTATTGCTTCTGAACCAAAGCAGATGAATGAAATGTATACAGCAAATCTCCAGCAGTGTCTCTGTGCAATGTTCAAATGTCATTGCGTTGAGCGAGGTGCAAAGATCTTCAGACTTTCAAAGAGGTGGCTGAGTCCGAAATTGTTGCTAGGGCCTTGAGTTTGTTGTATACAGGCAAGCAGCTGTTACAGTGATGTGGGAAGACCAGCAAAATGTAAGTTAAGTACGAGTAGGTAGATGAAGCCTCTGAAGTTTGTTTAGAAAGAGTGGTCATTTCAGTGTTTGATAATGTGAATATCAAAGCGGATTTATAGTACTTTGACTTAATAATGGAATAGCTGTTCATGCAGGCTCTTTACCTCACTCTTACTGTGGTAAGTGTACTGTTAATGCTGGTAGGTCATGATGATTAAACTAGTAACATAAGGAACATAACTGGGTATAATGCTAAATGACAAATACAGTACCAATTCATAATTCATTTTTACGTTTAATGTAAATTTTCATTTTAATGTATTGCAACAGCTTTTTCAGTTTGTGCTGGAGTTTTGAAAAAAGTGTCTTGCTGAAGGTTGTAAATCCAACTTGATTTGTGGTCTGTATTATAAATGCATCATGCTTTGTGTATACTGTTGAGAATTAATGTAATCTGGTACTGTGTTTTGAATGCAGTGTGGGAAACTGTTAAAAGTGTGTGTGGGATATTTATGTATGACACTAGTTCCGTTGTTCAGTTCGTTGTGTTAGTTAACTGTAACATCAAAACAGCTAATGATATGCTTACTTATGCTTACTTATTGCCTTACTTCTAGGGATCAGATGATTGCCTTGTAAAAATCTGGGCAACCGATGATGGAAGGTTGTTGGCTACCCTGAGAGGGCATGCAGCTGAAATATCTGATATGGCAGTGAACTATGAAAACACCATGATAGCTGCTGGAAGCTGTGATAAAATGATCAGAGTTTGGTGCCTTCGAACTTGTGCACCCTTAGCAGTTCTGCAGGGCCATAGTGCATCTATAACATCACTGCAGGTAGGTTTTTGCTTTGCTAAATCACCTGAGCAATAAAATGCATCATTTGCCTGAAAAAGGAGCTACCCCAGAATGTTCTTGTAATAAAAATGCATGCCTGGCGACTAAGCCATGAAGTGAGAAGGAATTTCCATGGTACGCATTGTGAAATAACATGTGTTTATTGTCAAAATGCCTGACCCTTGAAAAATGCCAGGCATAATCCTTGATCAAAAAAATTGCATGACGCACATGGGCAGTGCTGTTTTGAAGTATCATTTCTTTGCAGGCTGTGATTCTGAGCGCAGATACTTTGAGTAAGAACTACAGTCACTGCTGAATAGTTGGTTTGTTTCTGTGTAGAGTTGCATGCTGTTGCACAGCTTGGGTTGTGGGGCGGGAGAACCCCAGAGTGCTTCGGCAAGTAACCCAGAAGGGTTGTTCTGAAGAAAGAGAGTGACTATGAGAAGCATTGTGTTACTTTGGTGTTTGTTGCAATTTATTGGGGTGTTTTTTTCCTTAAGTGTGGTTTGATACATGATTTTTTTTTTTTTTTTTGTGAGAAGTCAATGACTTGAAGAATTTACTAGCACATCTGGAACAGATTAACAGGAGACCTTTTCTTTTTTCTTCCCTCACTTCCCCCAGTTCTCTCCACTGTGCAGTGGCTCAAAGAGATACTTATCTTCAACCGGGGCAGATGGAACAATATGCTTTTGGCTGTGGGATGCTGGCACCCTTAAAATAAAGTTAGTTGCTATTTTATTTGTTGCTATTTATTTGTTTGTAATTAAGAATGTTGTACAAATGTTGGAGAAATAATTTGACTAAAACAAAATTTGTCACTGGCTGGTTTGCTGTGTGATTGTTGGGTATGATGTATTTCTGATCTAGCTATAGCTTGCTTGCTTATCTTTTAAGGACTAAGTTGATAATATAACTAATCATTGAGGATTTTGTGGAGTGAAGCAAGTACCTATATACCTAGTTTGGCTGCATATCTGTTAATTTAGTAAAAAATATCTAATGATTTTTTTTTAATGTGATGTTAAAGCTGGCGCTTTTTGGTCCTGTTCTTATCTCTCAATCCCAAATGAAATGCAACTGATGTTGATAAAATGATTGCAATTGAGAATTGAAAATCTAAATTTTTTTAGGAGAAGGTAATGTCCTAGTGATAAATTAGGATATGGTACTTTTAAAGTTTGTTCTTTCCTTATTTCTGTTACCTTTTCATAGTTGCTCTTTACTATAGCATGGCAGGAGGCAGCATTCTTAGGCAGCTGTGTATTGGTGGCTGATGTTGAGTGTGAAGTTTCTGCGTTCAAAGTGTAAAATATTAAAAATATTGTCAGGATCCTTAAAAAGAGATAGGATTGTTGTTTGGTTTGGTTTTGTTTGTTTTTTTTTTTTTTTTTTTTAATTCATGTGTTCAGTGGCTTTCAAATGCTTTTTGCTCCTTCTTTTCCTTTGTCACAAAACACCTGTAGCTCAAAATTGGAAATAGTTGTTTTAGTAATCATTAGTAATTTAGCTTTGGGGATGAAATGTGTTCTGTGGACCTTAACTATTTTGGATGAAAAGTGTTCTCTGCACCTTAACTATTTTGATGTTCTCTGGGCATTTTGGCGCATTTTTTTATTTTTTTTATTTTTTTTTTTGATATTGCAGATAAAGCTGCTTCTCAGACTGTTAAATCTCTGCTGCCTGGTGTGCGCTGTAGTCAAAGTAGCTCTCCTCCTTACTGAGAAGGTGGCTTACGTGCTTATTTTAATATGCGAAGGGGAGAAGTTGCCACTGCATTGTTTTTCTTAAGGTCTCTTTTAAATCTGAGCTCTTGTTGACAAGATGAAATCTTAATCTTTCTGATTTTTAAACCTTTTGAGCTCACATGCTTTTTCTCTCTTAATTTTTAAATTTATTTTCTGGGTTTTTTTGTTCTCCTTTTCCTAAGTTAAGTTTGACTATGGAGTTGAATTTTGAAATAAATTCTGTCATTAGAGAATAGGAGAATTCATGAGACTAAGTGGATTATACTATATGAGCTGGAGGGTGAATATTTAGAAATCGTGAATATTTGGATGAATCGTGGAATTGGATGGGATTTGTCTTGAGGTAAAACTTAAGGAGTGAGAAAGCTGGCATCAGTTATGGTAGGGGATTTTCAACTAATTCCTATCCATGGTGAGGTGTAAGCGTAGAATACAAATTTTCAGTGAGATGCACTTGGCAAATACTAAAGGAATAAAAGATATCAGAATAATGCTTCACATATAACTGATCGCAGCAGATGTGATCAGACAGCAGCACAGAGAAAATAGAGTAGTTCAGCTGTCTCATGCAGCACAGCAAGGAACAGGTCTTGTAACCCCAGTCATGTCATTGATTCATGTTGTGTAACGACAGAGTAAATTTTGAGACAGGAATTCATACCACCCTTACCTTCGGTTCTGGGAGTATTTTCTATGTTGTGTTTGAGAAACTGGGAAAAGATGGGTGCATGAAGGTGAGATGTACATTCATGAGTGTCTTGAGGAGGGCACATATAATGGGTAATTGCTTGTTGGCCCTTGTACTAGAGGGTATCAAGTGAAGGTAGCCAATTCCAAATTGGAAGGAGGTGGTTCTTTACAAAGCATGCAGTTAAGGTTCTTTACAAAACATGCAGTTAAGCTATGAAAGTCCTTTGCCACAGGATATTATTATGCATTATATGAAGATATTAAAAGGTATCACTGTATGTTTTTTCTGCTCTTGCACATCCAGTTTCAGCTACTTTGGAGGCAAGGTGCTGGTCTTAGATCTTTGACTGAACTTAGTAGAGCTGTTATGTATTTGAATTAATTGGCACTTTTTGATCAAAGCTAAAACTTGGTAAAATGTGGTAAAGTCTAAATAAGAAACAGGCATGTCTTCTGGGACTGAAACATAACTGTGTGTCACTTCAGGATATCAAAATAGTGGACACCCAGAAAAGTCTTATTCTAACTCTTCTGAATTGAACAGTATACCAATTCAGGAGAATTTCTTGGTTACAGGAAGTCTTCTCTAATTTGCAAACCTGTAAACTTTTCTAACTGTAATTGTGTTTATTCCAGTAGGAATAAAGTATCACCTACTAGGTGATACTGGGAAACTAAGAGTCCAATGTAGTTTTTCACAAGAAGGCTGCATTGTATGGATAGTGCGTCTCAGTAATGGGTATAGGTTATCATACAGTTTTCAATGAGGTGATCGGACTTCGTATGCCTTTAGATCTGGATCTGCTTCCAGAGTTGCAGAAACATAGCAGGTTCTCACCACATCCATTCAGTAATGTGCTGGGGCAAAATGAGTGCCAGTGGTGTGAGACCATCAAAGGAAAGAGAAATTCCTGTTAATTTTTTTTCATAAGGCCCTTTGTGGGGTTATTTTTTTAACAAACATGATGTGTAGGCCATCTGGAAGAGAGAATAACTGGTGGGGTGGGAAGCTTGTCCTTCCTTTTGTCACTATAGTAAAAAATACTCAACAGAAGCAAGTCTGTATCTCTAAAAAGGAGGAAAGCGGGCAAAGAAAATAGGATCTCTTACCACAGTTACTCAGATTCTGAGCTTGCTGCCCTTTATCTCAGTTTCAGCAGTCCTCCCACCCCAGGCAAGAGAAATGGGGGCTTTTGGACGAGACCAAAAGATCTGAGTAGTACAGGTGAAGGGTGCTGTCAGATGCTGAAGTCAGAACTTCATTTCATGCTCCTCCTGAGCTTGACTGCAGTCTGTCCTTCAATGATACAGTTGCTGTCAGTGACGGAAGTGTTACTAAATTATCCAATACTTAAAATTGGGACTGGTGGGGAAGTCTTGAAATTTCAGCTGCTCAAAAAAAAAAAATTTTTAAAAATCTAAAAAACATACACACAGAGACACTCTCCACCCCCTGCTTTTTATACTCAGCACTACTTGAATCATCTGGCAGTGAGTTAAGGTTATGAGCTGTTGAGCAGCCTCATGATGATCATGTGGTTGATCGTAGTCTCAATATGATTTGCAGTGCCAGCAGTACTTTGCTGAACTTTTTATAAAGTATGGGAAAGGCAGTGTTTGGATACACTACTGTGTTCAGTGTGCTCTCAAATTAAAAATAATCAGTTTTGGTTTTAACTATGCTGAAAACTGCTTCAGTGGAACCCAGTTTGATGGTTAAGTCAACTCCCTGTCTTTAACTGGAAGTTGGACTTAGTCCCTCCTGGGAAGAATTCCCCCGGAGGGCAATCTTTCTCTCTCAGCTTCTTCAGGAGATGAGGAAACTTGAAATTGTTCTTCATTCTCCACTTCTAAAATTAGATCAAAATATTGTGGAACACTTACTTTATCTCAACAGATCATGAAGAACTGGAAAACTCACTACCTTGAAAACTGTAGTATTTGCCATTGAAAAGGACTTTGATATCCTTTCAGCCTTCTAATGTCTAGTGCCATATCCCAGTTCTGTCTTGTGTTTTTTCTTTTTAGTCTCTGCAAATGTTTCTTTTGTTTCATTCTTGGATTGCAAAAATCCTTGTATTTAGCTTTGCCAGCAGCTCTGCTGCAGTATTAATAGTAGCTCTGAAATTAGAGGCTTCCCATGTTGGTCTCCCAATTTTTTGATAACCTCGTTAATTGATGCATGCTCAGTATCTAGGTCTCACATATGGCCGAGACAGGAGATGCTTGGTGACAGAGCTCTGTTTTGATAAACTGCAAAAGGACACATTACAGTAGATTTGGCCGTAGGATGAAACACAGATGTTGGCACGGCTGACCACAAAATTCTCGTGTTGTTCAAAGGAGGGTGATCAGCCTTGCTCACGTGCTTCTGTGACTAGTATGGATGCCTGTTTTTCAGTATTGCAGAGCCTCCTGTGTGCTCTTCCTTTTTCAGTGAAGAGATACCTGACCGGGCAGTTACCATGTATGCCTAAAAGCAGTGATGTTCCAGGTAGATTAATTTGATTTCCAAATAGAGGAATGGTAAGGTTGGTAGTTGCTGCAGGTAAGGAAGTCAATGAATGTGGCCCAAACAGGAATGGAAAAAAATTACAAAATTAGGCAATCGAGACTTTCCTCACATTTTGTCTCCTGTTACTATTCTGGATGGTGATAAAAAACATGAGAGTCTGATCCTGTATCAGTCAACAGTAGGGAGAAGAGAGAAAATCAGCCCTGGGTCATCAGAAATTGAAGAATAATGTGTCAAGTTTAAGGGAGAATTATTACAACTGGTCAGTGCATCAAAGTTAAATTAGTTGCACTGCAAACTATTTGCGTATGCATCTTCTCTGAGAAAGATGCTGAGTGTTTTTATTCTTCTGCCACCTGTTTGGATCACAAGTTTCCAGTGTTACTGGCAGACCATATGAACGAGGCAGCAAAACAGTCTCTCAGATTTGGGTAGAGGAACTTAACTATACTGCTTTTCTTTTCTATTTTTTCCCCTGTAGTTTTAAAAAGAGGAAAAGAACTTAGGAAAAACACATGTTGATGATTTTGACATTCCTGTTTTGGACAAGACGTTGATTTCTCAGTTGCCATCAGTGTGGTGTGATACTTCCCATCTGCTTTCTTAAGGAGAAGGCACTTGATGTTAAAGGGGCTGGTCATACATCAGAGTTCAGATATGCTGAACCTTGTTCGTTAGCCTGTGAACTAAGACTTGGTTTGGAGAGGTTATATCACACACCTGTTTTCTGGGAAGAAGTCTTACTTGAGCCACTGTATGTCCAGAGTGAGGGTATGTTGAATTGAACACCTTGCCACCGAGAAGAGAACCATTTTGAAGAAGATGAAGTTGAGATGTTTATAGGGGTGACTGTGTCCCTTAGTTGAGGCACATAGACCAAATTGCTCCTTTGTCTGCTGCTCTGAGTGAAGGTTATTTTTTGACTTCAATCATTCTCATTTCTGCATCTGTGTTGAGTTTAATGCAGATCTCTTTCAGGAGGAAAATGGTTTACCAGGGCTTTACTGGACCTCTCTATGAAATGTTTATGAAGGTATCTTAGCGCTGTCCAGCCACTTAATAATTGGATTGGGAATGTTTGTAAAGCAGAACAATTAGCTTGGTTTCTGTATGTTGCAAGAAATTATGCTTTTGTTCACTTGCCTCGCTCCCCCAAAATACTGATTGCCCAGCTCGTTTTGCAAAGACCATAGTCTGCTCTAGTGTAAAGTAACACACATTAGAGAGACGTAAGTTGGAGAATTTAACTTGGTAATCCAAACTAGAACGTAAGTGCTTACTTGCTCTATTTTGCAGCTGTCCTAACTCCAAAGGCAGAGTTCACAAACCACAGTGGAAGAAAACAGCAGCCTAATTATCTATTTACACTTGCTCCAAATTATGTAAGCTGCATATTGAATCATCTGATGGTTCTTTTTATGTTAGTATCTCAGTTAAGAAGGGTTTCAACTGTTTTGTAGAATGGATCTTTGTCTTGTTTAGTGTATCTTGTTTGTGAAGTTGCCTTGTCATGAGTCTGCAAGGAGTTACCTTAAAACTCCTAGAGGGAAGTTCACAGAAACAGCCTATACTTAGTAAGTAATTTGGAGAAAAAATTCTTACCTGGTATTCCCAGTGTTTATTACTTTCTTTTATGCATAGGCACCACTAAGGTTTAATGCTTACTAGTTCCTTTGAGATAGCAATAGCCAATTAGTGGAAAAAGATGCCTCATGCATCTGCCTTAAGCTGAAATGAATCATATGGACCATTTTTCTTTTAAAAGATAAAAATTTGGATAAGTTATGAATATGCATTTTTAATGTTAAATCTTTAGTGATGACACTTGTGGGTGTAATGCTGCTGTTCTCTAGTAAGTTTATTCTTTGAGTGGAGATTGCAGATGGCATACTATGCAAGACCACCTGCTGATTTGAAGTTGCTGCAGTGCATGAGCAGAATTGAAGTAACATCGAAGAACCAGATCTGATTTGTTTTTATACATTCTTAAAGTGCCAAATCCATTGAAGCCTTAGTTTTGCTTGCACATCAGGTTCTGAAATGCCTAAAAGGAAGCACAGGCCATAAAGTAAAATTCCTTACAAACTTCTAGCCACTGTCCTGACATTCTTTGGGCACTATTTGAAACTGACCAACAAAGAATATATGTCCTCTGAAGAAACTGGTATATTCTAATACTGTGAAAACCTCTGAATTTATTTAAATTTCTTTTGTGTCCTTTTCTATAAAGAGTGCCAAGCTCTGTTTCTCTCTTGTAAAAGCAGCTGTGTGCTGCAGGAGAAAACCAGAGTTCTAGTACACCCAGTGGTTTAAAACTCAACATGATGGGCAGCTAGCTCTAGTGTCTTCTGTTCTGCTTTGCTGGTGACTTAAGAAGAGTGTTTTGTATAGCATTATTAGAGAGGATAGGGGAATGGGATTTAAGTTGTGATACAGCTCTCCTTGATACATGGATTATTTAGTCCATCTGGATGTCTTAGTTTCCTAAAGATCAGATCATGAAGCATAGTCACACGAGATTGTTTATAGATGGGCAGCCATCTGTTCCTTCATTCTTAATTTTGTCCTTCTGTGCTTTATTTCTAAGATACTGACTTATTTTTTTAAGCCCTATTAAGAAACTATTTAACTGTTTCTTTATTTGTAGTCCAAGGCCAACGAAGTTTACAGAACGACCTCGGCCCGGAGTCCAAATGATCTGTTCTTCTTTCAGTGCTGGTAAAAGACTTTTTTTTTTCTTTTTTCCTTTTTCTTCCTTGTATCAGTAGAAGTCATTTGGAGACTAAAATGAAATGTCATACAGTTACTGTAGCGTACTTCTTGTTAATAAGATAAAGTAGCTATTTAAAAAACCCTAAATATTTAAAACAGACATTCAGAATTTATGCATTAACTCTTGGTGGTATGGAAGTTCTTGGAAACGGTTAAATATAAAATGTTGAAAGTAAGCTTCTTGTGACTGCAAGTCTTTTAACACACAATGTAGACCTTTTTCTCAGGGTGATTCTGAGAGTCAGCTTTATCTGAGTTGGAATTTAAAGGGAATGGGACAAGAAGGTGTTGATTACCAGGTTCCTAATGGTCTGAATTTCATGGATTCCAGAGTTGGCAATTGAAGAATGCAACATAAATAAGTGGATAAAATATCAAAATGACAGAAACTTACTTTCACAAAGTGTATTGGCGCTTTAGTTCCATTCAATTTGTGTTAAGATTGAGGCTTTCAAGGGCTTTGTTGCAAACAAATTACTGTAGTTAGCTACTCTTTCAGATATGTCTGCAGATACATATTTATCTGACAGCAAATGTGAGGTAATTCAACTGCAGTTAACTTTTGAGTTTCTAAATCTTGTTTTCGCTTAAAGGTCAGTTACAGGCATAGGTGAAATGAGACACAGCTATAAATTTAAGGGAATAAATTTAAGTATTCAATGTTACAGCCGTTTAAAATACTGCAATAACATTCGATTGCCCTTTTTTCTTAAAACTTGTCTGTTTGTTTTTTCTCAGGTGGGATGTTTTTGGCCACTGGGAGTACAGATCACATCATTAGGGTTTATTTCTTTGGATCAGGTCAGCCAGAGAAGATATCAGAGTTGGAGTTTCATACTGTAAATACTTTTTAAAAATTACATATGTATTTGATTAAAATATTTTGGATAAATTTGGAATAATGCTTGATTTTTTTTCCTTTTTTTGTTTTTTTTTTGTTTTTTTTGTTTTTTTTTTTTTACTCTTTTTATATAGGACAAAGTTGACAGCATTCAGTTTTCTAATAGTAGTAGCAGGTAAGCTAGCAGTTTATTTATTCAGAGCTAATTTTTTTGACCTTGTAGACATTTATAAATATCAATTTTTGGAAGTAGTTATAAAAAAAGTTCCTTTTTTTTGAGGTTCATCCAGTAAAATCATCTATAATTATTGTATTCTCCCTGTATTGTTTTAATAATACTCCTTTTTCAGTTTTACAGTTGTTTTCATTGTAATGAAAGATTAAAGTATTTTGAATTTGCCAAAATAAAGGCGTATAAAAATATTTGAAATTTATTCTTAAGAAATGTATGTGTATATATATTCACATGTAAAATACATGCATTTTTAGATATATTTAAATCTTTTTTCAATTAAGTGACTGCTGGATACAGGAAAACTATCAAACTAGGTCTAACAAGATCTTCTTTAGCTAGCCTAATGTGTCTTAATGCTTCACTTTAAGTTCTGGATGTTGAATGTGAAAGATGCTAGAGAAAACAGTTGAGTTTATTATGAACTTTCTGACACTTCATTTAATTGATGTTCTAATGTACACTGTTATTATGATGCAAATAGTTGTAAACCAAACTTCATTGTGCTCCACCCACCTTTCTCCTCCTTCTACTCCTGCACCCCAAAAAGGGGGAAGAAAAAGGTGGGTGAGAAACTCAAGCTGGGAAACACTAGCTCAACATGCAGTGCTAGCTTCTTGGGAGTAGGTTTTGTTTGTTTTAAATCATGTCTGTACTTCTGCTTGCAGGGTTGTCCTGGCCCTTCAGCTATTTTTTACCCCTGTACATTTCTTCCTTAATTTTACATGGCATGACAGGGTCAGTTTCTTAGAGCACTCATTGAGTTACGGTGTCCCTGTGCCAGAACAGTGTTGTAATTCAGGAAGGTGCACCAAAGGTCAAAGTACAGTTAGTTTGGAGGGTGCTCAGGACAGGGAAGCAGGTGCCACTTTTTGCAGGCCTTCATTTTTTTTACAGGAAGTGTTTTTTACCTCAAACCAGTTGTACAGCATTCTGACACTACTTGGACTTCTTACTTACAGGTTCCTTTTTTGAGTTCTAAATTCTGGTACTTCAATTTTCAAGTGTCTTTTTTTTTTGTACAGATCTGCCTTTGATCTCCAAGTAACTTTTTTCCCCTTTTGTTAGATTTGTGAGTGGAAGTCGTGATGGAACAGCACGAATCTGGCAATTTAAGCGAAGGGAATGGAAAAGCATTTTGTTAGATATGGCTACTCGCCCAGCAGGGTAAGTGATGTAAAATGTTGTTACCCGGTAAATACTTGAAGGCCATTGGTATAATTTTCTGACTTATTTAAAAACACAAACAAACCAACCAACAAGAAAAAAAAGAGAAAGGAAAAAACGGTGTTTGGGGGAAGGCCTTCTTAAGTTAGTATTGCTTTAAATGCTCAATATGCTTGTCTAGCTCTTGAAGTCTGGTGAAAACAAGTATTTGACTACATACATATTCAGCTGTGGAAACTAGCTTGTCCTGATAATAGCTCCACTAGTATTTTGATTAGATTAAAAGAATAAAAGATACTCAAAACCCATTAAAGGTCAAATTTATATGGCTTTTTACATTGGTGTTTATTTCTGGAGCAAGAAAACCAGGTCAGATCTCTTGTTGAGATGGCTTGTGTTTTAGTAATACTTGAAGATCTTGTGGAATCTGCACAACCAGAAAGGTTGTGTACAAACCCAGAAATGCAGCATTGGGTTCTTTCATACCCCATGCCAGAGCAAATAAATCACTTGCTCTGTAATGGGTTCCCATTTGTTAAAATTATCTTAGAATTTACAAGGCTTTGTAGGTATGCGAAACTTCTGTACACTAGAACAAGCAACAAAAGAGGCTTGAAGATGGAGTATGACTTAGTAGGAATTTTGGCTTGCACCTTTTTATTTTGGCATGGAGGTGATGTTTTCTAACTGACATACTTTAAGAAGATTTATAATGGGTTTAAGGGGTAAACCTTTTTCCCCTTACTGATCATACTGAGTGGTTTGAAGGATGATATTTAATAGGAAAAAAAAAATCGTTTCAGGGGTAATCCTCTGCAAAAATGTCTGAAAGATCAAGAGGAGGATGGAAGAGAAGACCGAATAAGCTATAATTTAGTTAGGTGTTTAGATCAGAGGGTATCTTGTCGGTTATGGGCAGATGCAACAAAACGTCAATATAAAACTGTTGAACAAGAGTGTATAAAGCACAGGTACTTTGAGAACAGACTGAGTTACTCTCTTGAAAATGCAGCCTGTAAAAATTCTTAGTTTTAACTGATCCTGGGAAAAATAGTAATGGATTCTTCTTTATTGTGGTCACAAATACTGACCTGCTTTGAGAAACTGAACTGCTCATTTCAGTAAAGTACCTTTAGCTGAAATCTGTTTTGTCCTTTTGACTAGAGGGATAAGTGTAGTTCCAAATTTGATCTTTTCTACACAAGCACAATTTTATCAAAGAAAATGAAATTGCTGCACTGAAAGGAGAGAGTGAATTTGGCTTATAAAGCCTCCTGGGTTCTGCATTGAATCTAGGAAGGAATCTGGCTATAACTACGTTTTCTATTACTAAGTTGTACAATATATACTATTGTGTAATGTATTGTAGTGCTTACTACATGGAAGATTCTGTGTTTTGTTTGCCTACATGGTGGTAACATGCTATTGTCGTATTTGGTTGATGTTTTCCCAGAAATTAATGTACTGGAGAATTCAGTGGTGAATCATCTTCAAACCACACTGACAAAAATGTGTTTTGGGAGTATTCTGATATATTCTATTATAGATGGCTAGTGTTTGGTTTTCATAGGAATAAACATAAAATACATGCAAGGTTAAGTACCATTATTACTGATAGTAAAGTGATGTAGGGGTGGTGGTATAGTGCTAAATATAGCCTGAGAATTTAACTTGTGTAAAGATCCCAGAATACTTTCTCCATATTTATAACCACTTACTACAAATATTATTTAGGACAGACGTTCACTGGTTGACTAGTTTGGATTTTCACTCTTCAAATGCCACAACAAATACTGTCACTATCAAATCTAATTGGGTTAGGTCATGTATAGGAGGGCAGTTTCTGGAAAAACAGATCAACATATACTTTAAGATATTAAGAGGGCCCTGTAGTCATGGTTTAAGCATCTAGAATTCTTTTGTGGTTGTATGTGCTAGCTACATAATGGAAAACATCTTTCATTTCCCCAGTTTCTTGAAGAAGTAATGCTTCTATTCTTAGTAATAAAGCAAAATACAGAATTATCTTCACTTGCTAGGGGCATAAAAATGTTTTGGCAAACTAGGATTGCTTTGAAACTGTTTGCTCTTTTGTTTTAGACAAAGTTTACAAGGAGTTGAAGACAAAATCACAAAGCTGAAAGTGACCATGGTGGCATGGGACCGCCATGACAACTCTGTTATAACTGCAGTAAATAACATGACTCTGAAAGTTTGGAACTCTTTCACTGGCCAACTCATTCATATTCTGATGGTAAGGTGTTCCATCTTGATTTATCAATCCTGGGTGCAAAATTTACATACACATCATCAACATTCCTCCTTATGCTTTTTTTCTGTCTGAAGACTGCCTTAACAAATGTTTCCACATAATTGAAGTGTAGTAGAGATGTCTGTCAACTGCTTATTAGAAAATAAAGTGTTAAAGTCGCAAATAAAGATTGCTGTTCAAGATGTCTGAAACTAATTTTGGACTTTTTTTTTTTCCCTAAAGTGCTATCTTGAAGGAGAGAAGGAAACAGTGTTTCTTTTTGCCTTTATTTAATGTGACAAATGTTTTGAAATACTGTTAATGGATAAATTTTGGTTTTGTAAATTTTTTTTTTGTTTGAACAGAGACAGTTCTGCAACGTAATCATTCCATGATTACAGAAAAATAGTCTTCTAGCTAGAATAAATCAAGCAACGTTTTTACTAATGTCTGATACTTTTTTTTAACTGACAAAATAGGTAACTCTAGGTAACTAGGTGCTCCACTAGAGATGGAAATACTTCATACAAAGCTTTAAAATTTAGTATTAATTTTGGAGATGTTGTTCCCTAACTTTTAGTTATATATTTGATTCTTTATGGTTCTAAATTAAATTTCTAACTGCTCCTCTGCCTAAACAAATGATGTGTGGTCAAAGTAGTTGTTCTTTACTGGATGCTTTCATAGATTAATGTTGCAGTTGCCAGTGTTATTATATTAAATTCCTGGGTAAGTATTTGAGACAATCCTTTTGTTCATCTTGCTGTGTCTTTAATTTCAGGGACATGAAGATGAAGTGTTTGTACTTGAACCTCATCCATTTGATCCAAGAGTTCTCTTCTCCGCAGGACATGATGGAAATGTCATAGTTTGGGATTTGGCAAGAGGGGTCAAAATCCGGTCTTACTTCAACATGGTAATTATTGTGCTTTATGCAGATATGCTGGAGCAACCTTTCTAAACTTTTTGCTTTTAGTAAATACTTACGTAGGCCATCTTGAAGCATGCATTTGTGTATAGGGCAAGATCCTGCATCCAGTGAAGGCAGGAGAAATTCCTATTCAGTTTAGTGGGGCAAAGATTAAATCTGTAAAATGTAAAAAGTTGTTTCTTTGGCTGTATTTCATAGTGTCATCTTTCTACATGCTTCATCCACATGAAATTGGAGTGTTAGGTTACATTGTCAGAGATCATGCGTAAGAGACGGGGTGACAGAGACCCTCCTTTAGTGCTCTGTTTCCTGCCTGGGGAACCAAGGTGGAACTTGGTTTATTTTTGCATTACTAATTCTTAATCTGGCTAAAGCTCTTCAGGAGTCACCTGATCTCATACAATGTTGTTGTACTCTGCCTTGGCCCATTGGACTGAATACTGGTCAGCCTTTCTGTGTAGAGCTCCTCCACTTGCAGGTTTCAAATTTGGTCTGTTCTGCACTAAGATAATTCTTCTGGAAGATGGATGCAACAGGTATTTCCATCTGTTTCTTTATATTAAGTGGGTCTTGGTACATATCTTTTTCCTCAAAAAGGTAATGATGTGTTGTGCAATTCAGACTTTGTCTCCTGGAGAAAAATTACAAAAGTCTTTGTAGAATATGAAGAATCACTGAGAATGCTGAGAGTAGGCAAATGGGCTTTATCCAGCCTTCAGCTATAGTGGAATGGCAGTCTTGGAGACCAGGATAAAGAAGATCATCTGAAGAAGAGACCTGCCATAGATGTACTCACAAAAAACAACCAAAAGGCATTTAGAAATGAAGTCAAGCCAGGAAGGTCACTCTGAACCGTAAGAAAGATTTTGAGATGTGCAGTGTACAGTACAGTTCATAAAGCCTCTGAAGAAATCCTGTCAAGCTTAATGGGAGAGAGAGCAGCCTAGACTCCTTCAGCACTGACCTAGGTTCAGTATTGCTCCCTCCACACTGATTTCTGTAACTGAACTTCTGAAGGGTCTGAGAGAATCACCTTGTTACTCAGTGCTATTCACTATTACCAGTTGAGGTGCATGTTCTCATCGCATGGTTAGGTTGCCTTTCCACTACTACTTAAAACGGGTGTATGATAGTTTTCATAGAATTTAAGGTCAGAAGAGGCTGAGCTCATCTGCTCTTTATAAGACAAGTCCATTTAAGAGCTATTGCAATCTAAATTACAAATGCCTGTGACGTTAGGCAACCCCCCGAAAGAGTGAAAAATTTATTTTAAGGGTGCAGTGCAACACAAACACCTAAAAAGGGTAAAAATCACATATTTTAAGATCTTTGGGGTCAGAGAAATATGTAGACAATCAGAAGATCTCAGCAGCTATCGATCTGTGCTTCATGCTAGAAACAAATGTGAGAAAGTCTGCCAGCTGTGTGAGGTGAGGGGAATTGTAAATCTGGCAATCAGTTTGTCTCAAACCAATGAATAAGTCATATGACCTGGTATGCAAGAGAGGCATCTCTCTGCAGTCTCTGAATATTTCACCAGCTAGTCTTCCATGGCTGAGGCTTCAAAAGACTTGTGTGGAAATTGGATGTTTTCTTAGATGACTGGGCGGGGGAGATGTGCTTCTAGACCATGAGACTTGATTGCATAGTCAGATTTACAGAGCTGCAAATGTTAAGTGTTCTGGTTTACTAAGAGGAGGGCATAAATACATACAGAGCTGCCAGTCTTATCCCAGTTTCCTAACTGGCATATCAGCTGGCAACATCATTAGATTGCCACTATTAAATTATTCTGATAACTGCCGTGACCTTCATTGACTTGCTCAATTATGTCATCTCATACTTCAGAAAAATAGTGCTTGTGTTCAAGGGATGGGAAATTTTTACAGATTGGCTTCTTTTGGATCAGATAGGCAACATCATCTGGAACAATCAAACCTGAGAGTTGAATGACATAAGATCTGCTTTACTATTCAAGAACCTCTCATTATCGTTGCCTGTCAAAACAGTGTCTGTGGTACCAGAACTAGTGCTGGATGACTTTGTCGTAACAAAAGCTCCTTAAAAAAAATGGCAGACCTGGGGGGTGTTGGTTGAATTAGCAAAATCTTAAGTTACTGTTAGCTTAATGATAGTCCAGTCAGGTATTCCCATCCTAGGTGGATTGCTTGGTACATCTAAAGCCTTGTGTCAAATCCCCAAAGTAGAGTTGGGTGTTTTTAAGTTGTTCCTCCTCCTGCCCCTCCTCTGAATTCCTTCACTGTCAGCATAAAAAAAAAAAAAAAAAAAAAAAAAAAAAAAAAGGATGCAAGTAGTGTCAATCGGTTTGCAACTTAATCCCTTTTATCCAGTCAGTGAATGTGAAATTACAAAGCCATAGTAACCAAATACACTTTTTGTTTTGTATTTAACTTAAATGGGAGAATCAAAGTTTATTTGTGCCTCACTGGTTACAGATAGGTGCCACTAGGAGATTCTGGTGGTCATACAGAATGTTCTCTCCCAGGTTTTTAAACTTAAGATTTGCTATTGCATCAATTGTCACAGTCACAGTTAATCTGAAGCATCTTTGGTCTCTTTGCTGGATTTTCGACTTTATTATATTTAATAGTAAACTCAGTCCCATAAGTGACTGGTCTAAACACCTGGGTTTACTCTCAGTAAGTATGCATATATTTTATGTATTCCACATTATCACCTGTAGTCTTCACTTCACTTGATTTAGTTTTATAAGTTATGCATAACTGTATCAGAGCTCGTGGGCATTCAGAACTTGGTGACTTGAGTCAGCTGGATTCACGGAATGTGTTCACTATGCCAGGGAGTGAAATAAGTCCTGGGATGGTTTTAAATTGCATGTGCAAATACAGGTGCTTGTTGTTTTGTGGCCTGTGTAATAATTCTGCCAGTCCTGACTTGATACAGCTGCTAATGGAAAACACATTCTCTGTGGGTTTTTTGTCATTCATTTTTCCAAGGAATCAATGAGGTTGTGGCTTTGGTATTTTAATATTAAGGCAGTTTCACATGCTATGTTTCCCAGGTACAAATAAGCGTTTAGCACATTTCTGAAGAAACCAGGGTAATGAACCTTAAGTGGTTGCTGCAGCCAACTGATTGAGAGCTTATGTATTTCACAAAAATAGTGGTTTTGCTGCAGAAAGACAGTACAAACCCTTGTAAATGTTTAAATTGTGGCTTATTACGCAGGGCCTAGGTTCACTGAAGGACTTGACTGTCGTGGCATCTAAGTTATTGGGAACCAAGGTCCTTAGTCTCCCAAGTGGAATGCAATATCCTACCAAATCCCCAGTTTACTGAGCAGTGTATGACATTTAGGTGTCTTAGTGGATGATCCAGGAAAAAAAATACACTGAATGGTGGGCTGTCTATCGAGAGCCACTGTGTGATAATATGCATAGAGATACATTTGAAATGCAGTTTCTTACTCAAAGCTGCAATGAGGCATCTGGATCCCTTGTGTGGTAAGGCACCTTTCCAAGAACTGATAGAAGTCCCTGCTCTCCTAAAAGGAGGGTGCAGGAGCAGGTGGCACTCATCTTTTGGGATTGCTGTAAGTAATGTTGAGCTGGGAAATGGAAGAAATGGTTCTCTTCTTGGTGGCAAGGTGTTCAATTCAACATCTGCCACTTATCCAGGAGGGCATCTCAGCTATAAATGTCTAGATGGGACTTTTTCACAACTTTCTCTTGAAGTTGTGCTACTGTGGAGAGGTGTGAATCTGTAGCCTGTGGGTTTAAGCACTTCTAGGATTGTTTTCTTGGTACAGAAATCATGTTCTAGGTAAATTATGAAGTGGTAGAAATGGCCTTCAGCTTCAAGCTTTCAGGCAAGCTCTTGAACTTGCAGGACTCGTGCTCTGTTGGGTCATAAAGAAAAGCTGTACACCACTCAGTTGTCACAGGATCTGGTTTTTTTCAGGTTATAACTAAGTTATAAGTTACTTCTTCATAGACCTGCCACTGTTGCTTTGTTAGGAATTCCCCGGGTTGGCACTCAGATGGTATGTGCTGCAGTTTAGCCTTATGCTTGTAGGCTTTAAGCAGAAATTTCTCAATTCTGAGAATGTATGAGGGGAACTAGAAAACGAAAGGGAGTTAAGAATCTCCCAGGTCAAAAGGGAGGTGCCCAGTAATGTTAGGTGGATGCATGAGTTTTTGTTTGGTTTTGCAATTGGGTTTTTGTTGGTGTTGCAATTTGAACATTAAGTATGGTGTTCCTCAAGCCTGACCCCAAATAGCTTTGTGGTGTTACAGTGCTGCCCTTGATTTTTTTTTTTTCCCTTTATTTTTTTGGATTTGCATAGTTTCCTTTAAACGTGCTTTGTTTTAAGCAGTACCTCTCAGGGCTGAGCTCTGCTGATTCAGCCTGCTTGCAAAAGGCATTCTGTCTGGGGCCTTAGAGTGTAGGTTTGTCTTCTGGTATAGCTGATAGTTCTTGTCCTGTGAGTGGGTTGCCTTGTAGAATAATATTTTAAAAAGTTCACTAAAAGATTTCAGGATATGTATAGTCCTGTAGCTCTGTTCTTTTTTCCCCCCCTCTTTTTTTTTTTTTTTTTAGGTTTAGCGCATAGCTTTGTGAACATTTACAGGAACATATGGTGACTGCAGTTACTTAAAAGTATGTCGCTGAAAATATGTACCACAGTAGCAAGAATGAAAGACTAGGGGAGAGCAGGCATTTTTACAACCATTGTCACTGTAGAATATTGGATTTCTGTACCCCAGCGTTGAATGTAATTGTTTTACCTGAATCTGATCCCTGACACAGCAGATTTTGTAAGTAGGCATTGCGATTATTGCACTGGGAAGCTTGTGTATTAGTTGGTAAAGACTAGCCTTATGATGTTTAAGAAATCCTTGTGTAATGCAGAAATTAATCAAGTAGGAATACTGATGCCTTTAAATAAACAGTGGTTCTCCTGGTCAACAGATTTCCAAAAAAAACCTCAAACAAAGCCAACA